AAAAAAAAAAAAAAGTGGCAGGGGTGTGATTGGTTGAAAGGGCAGAGAACAAACCCCAGAACCATATGTAAGCTCCAGAGGCGGGTGGTGGGAACAGTCCCCAGAAAAGTGAGAAGGGGAAAGGTCAGGGCAATGCTTGCAGCATCAAGTTCCTCAGGAGTTTCTGTCGGCCCAGCTCATAGTCCTCCTCATCCACATTCACCAGGAGCTTGATAGCTTCATGCCCCACAGCTTGCTTGAGCGAGTCTGTGATGAAGACACCTTTAAGTGCCTCTAGTAACGAGCCATTGATGTAGTCGCGCCAGAATGCGTCGAGGTAGGTGAGCTCAGAGAACTTGATGTCACAGATGATGGAGCCCAGGTCCCGGGACTTGAGGATGGTGTTGGCCTGGCTAAAGCGCTCAAACTGGCGCTCAAGTGGGTCCTGCTTGTTAGAGAACACATTGCCTTGCAGAGCAGTATCGTGCTGGCAGTATTCGGCCCGAACCCGCAGTCTGATGTCTGTGGGAAAGAAAAGATGTGCAAAGGAGGTTATGGTGAGGATTAAGTTACAACCCAAGTCTGAAAATGGAAAAGAACAGCAGAGTAGCAAAGTAGGGAACATGACCTGACAGCTTCTCTGCCACTTCCCCAGAATTAGTCCTTTTCTACAAATCTCAAATTCTTGGCTAAGTGCAGGTTACCTTAAATGGGACATGGCCAGGTTAGCATTATTTGTATCACTCAAAAACAGCACCCTGCTTGTAGGAGATGCTCACAGACATCACAGCTCATTTTAATACTTGGTTCCTCCTACAGTAAGGGTGTCATATTGGCCGCCCCTTGAGTACTAACTCCAAAGAGGTGAAATGTATCCTGCCATGAAGATGAAGAGTTCTGAAGACTGAACCATTTAACCTCACTTTGCAATAGCAATCGATGTGAGCTATGCACCAAATAACAAGCTGTCCAGTATCCCAACAGTCCTAGTTTTCCTTAAGCCCACTCCACCTGTGGAATTTATGAACTTCCTCACCACATGTCTGCTTTTCCTTGGGATCTGGTGTCACTGACTTCCGGCGTTTTCGCTGGCTCCCAAGTGTGGCTCTCCCTCGGGCTGGCCGCTTACTACACATCTGAGGACCCGAAGTGGGGCAGCACACCACAGGATAATGGGGAGGCACTGACCAGAAATTAGAAGGGAAGAAAATACAGTAAGGTAAAGGCAGGAATTCAAACACTCTTTTGAGAATGTGGAAGGAATCATTTAGACTCAGCACTGAAAGCATTATCAATACTATGACCTGAAAGGACACAATGTAAGAGCAAACACAGGCACAGATGAAGCACTTATACCTCACCTGATTTTTTTATGTTGTTAGATGTGAGGAGACCGCATCCTTTCATGTAAGCTGGCAAAACCAGGAATGTGATATGATCAGTGTCCTCTTGCTTAATTATGGAAATTATGAGGAGTACTATCTTCTCACCTGTTTTGGGGGGCTGGGGAGGCCTCGGTTCTGGATCACTGAGGGTTCTTGGGGTCACATAGCGAATTGATGTCTCCTCCAGATACTTGTCTACAAGGTCAGGGCACACTGTAGGGGAGAAAAGTCATTCAGGGGAAAGCACACCCCTCATTTCTTCCAGTGGGCCTCATGATTATCCTGGGTACTCCCCAAGGTCAAGCCCTCCTCCCACTTAAACTCCTATGCTGCTCACTCCAGGCCTCCCAGAACTCTTCCCTGATTCCAGTGTTCCCAGCCACCCAAAAACCCTCACCAGCCCTTCTCCTCTTGAGGGTGACGTAGGGCAGCAGATCATGGCGAGTGATGATACGTAGCAGCTGCAGCACCTGGCGAAAATTACTCTCATCACAGCGGCCCTGGCGCTCCAAAGCCAGTAAGAAGTCACGTCCATTTCTGATGAGTCCACGCTCATGATCATCAATGACGTCGACAAAGAGGAAGGAAAGCACACGCACATCTCTGTGTGTCAGGTGGGTGCCCACGATGTCAAACATGCGGTGCAGGCTGTATAGCCCATGTTCCTGCTCACCATGCTCTTCTGGCCACACCTGGCTTGCCCGCCGCTTTAGCCCCGCCATGCTGGGGGCTCAGGAACACAATGCTGTCCAGAATCTCTGCTCAGCAGCTATAATCCCCAGTGTACTGTGAGGACAGGGCAAGAACCTGTGAGCCACTCAATGGTAGGAGCCAGTTTTATTCATCCTAGTGCCTAACATAATACCTGGTACAGTTTACTACTTAATACAGTTTGTTAAAAAAAAAAAAGTTTGTTAAAAAAAAAAAAAGCCTATAGCTCTCTGTACTGTAAATCCAGATTCTACTGAAATACAATCACTTCCCCTGAATGGGAATCTTATATCAATTTTAGTACTACTTCTTCAGAAAAAGTTGCTACACATACTGCTCCCATTATTCCTCTTGCCCCCAAAACAATGTTTTTTTGTTTGTTTCTTAAAAACATAAACTTCCTTCTCTCCTCCCAAGTTCACTTCTTTTTTTTGTTTGTTTTTATTATAGGGTCCTGCTATGTAGTTCAGGCTGGCCTTGAACTCATGATGCTCCTGCCTCAGCCTCCCAAGTGCTAAGATTACAAACTGTACCACCACACCAAGATTTCAAAACAGGGAATTTCCTCTTAACTAATATGGAGGGTGCATTTAGGGATTAACAAGAAAACAGAATGTTTAGTTACAACTAGTTTAAACTCTGGCTGTTATGTCATTAACAAATTATGTAGCAATGTGACATTTTTCCATCTGGTACTGGGGATTAAACTTAGGACCTTCATACTGAGCTACATTCCCAGACCTTTTATTTTAAGACAGGGTCTCACTAAATTGCTAAATTGCCCAAGGTGGGCTCCAATTTGCAATGTCCTGCTGGGATTATAGATGTGTACCACCACACGTGGCAGCTGTGTGACTTTGAAAGTCACTAACTTCAAAGCCTCAGTACCCTTACCTATAAAAAGGGATGAAAAAACAGTATCCAGTGAGAAAATGCACACACACACACACACACACACACATTTTCTGTATTTTCTCGTTGAATTCTTAACACACACACACACACACACACATATCACTTTTTTTTGTTTCTGTTTTTGTTTGAGACAGGGTCTCACTATGTAGTTGAGACTGACCTGGAACTCACTATGTAGCCAAGGCTGGTCTCAAACAGCAATTCTCCTGCCTCAGCCTGCTGAGTGCTGGTATTATGGGCGTGCCCCACCACGCCCGGCTTACAAATCACTTTTTAAACCTTATATAAATGGTCATGAAAAAGACTAAAGATATAAGCATCCTTGACCTGTGTCTCAGATACAACCCCTACAAAACTCTCTTCATTTTTCTTACAATCCAGTCAAGTCCAAAAGCGTAACTGCTCAGAAGGTTCATGATACTCATCAAAACTTCACAGCCCTATATACATTATATAATTTGGCATGTGATTCACAAAGTTCCTCCATCATCCTGGGTAATGCCAATGACCCAGCTATTTTCAGCCTTCCAGTACTAGTCCACCCTCTGATCACCACCTCCAATCACCCAACTAATGCTAAATTCCTGCTGATACTACTTCTGTTTTTTTGTTGTTGTTTTTGTTTTCAGAGTGTAGCTCTTCTAATGTTATGGTCTCAAGCTTTTTATGTTTGTATCTTTTTTCTCATTGAGTTTATTGGTACTTTTTAGGTATACAGTACGCTCCTTCTATTTCTTAAATCTGCCCCACCTTTTCACCTCTACTGCCACTGCCATGGTTTAGACTCCAATACGCTCTCACCTGGACTACTGCAACTGCCTATTTTAAGAGTTCTCCTTGGGGCTGGGGATTTAGCTCAGTAACACCACAACCTGCCTCATAAGTGCAAGGTCCTAAGTTCGATCCCTGGTACTGAAGAGAGAAAAAAAAAGTTCTCCTTACCACCAATCTTAGCCCACCTAAATCCATCCCTCACACCTGAGTTAGCTATCTAATATGCACAAAAGACGACATCACTTTTCTGTTTAAGAAGCAAGTACCCTTCCTTACCTAGAATACTCAAATTCCTTATAGAGCATACCAGGCCTTCCAAGATCCAACCTCATCTCCCACCACATCCACTTTCTTTTCTTTAACATTGATCTATTTTATTCTCTAACATTATCAGTTTGTTTAGTAATTTACTGCTCTACTTTTCTTCAGGCTATTGCCTTTGCCTGAATGCCCTCTTCCTCCTCTATTCCACACACCCATAACCACCCTTTTTCAGATGGCTAACTCCTACTCAGTCCTGGAAGAGTTGGTTCAGATGCCATCTTCAAAATGCATTCTCTATACCCCCCGCCTGGGTTAGGGAGTCCTCTTATGGATCAGTGTTCATGTTTCCTTTATATCAATGTACTAAAATTATTTTGTGTATTTATTATCCCATTAGATCCGTAAAACTTGTGCAGAGGAACTAAATCAAATTCATCCTTTTTGTAATCACTGAGTTTTTGGTACTTTTTAGGTATACAGTACAGTTACACTCATCATTGGGATCTTATACCTTTACTCAAACTCATCCTTATATCCCTAATGCCTAGTAGTGAACAGAGCCTGGCATCTGTGGTTGAACTGAACATAATCTCGAAGAGATCACCACAAGCAATACCAATTAAGAAGTGCAAGGTAGGCTGGGCATGGTGGCGCAGGCCTGTAATCCCTGCACTTGGGAGGCTGAGGCAGGAGGATCGCTGTGAGTTCGAGACCAGCCTGGGCTACACAGTGAGCTCCAGGGCAGTCTGAACTACATAGTGAGACCCTGTCTCAAAAAACAAAACAAAAAAAAAGAAGTGCAAGGTGAAAGAACACCATTAAAAACATACTAGGTTATCTTATATATATTCTGGCTAGACACTGCTGCCCCTAGACCACAAAGAACTATTTATACCATACTACCTTGCTCAACAATAAGATCAGTTATGAAATGAGAGGTAGAGGGTGTAGTTTCAATAGTGGGATGCATGTTCAGGATGTGCAAGGCCCTGGGTTGGATCCCCAGTAACAAGCAGAGGGGTAGACAAGATGATAAACGATTTCAGCAGAACCAAAGTGACAGGGATTCGGAAAGCTGAGGAGCAAGTATGCCAAGGATGGAAGCACAGAGGTACTTATTCCCTTAAGAGTCACTTAATACCAGACCCTGGGTTCTGATATGCAGGAAGGAACTCTAACCCATATAGTTTAGAGCCCAGATGCCCCACCACCTGAAGTACAGGAAACAGCTATTCAACTACAGACTGGTTCTCCCTTTCTTCCTCTCTTATTTCACCTGCTGCTGTCACTGGGTACAAATGGAAGTCCTGAAGGAAAATAACATCTTGCTCATAGCAGGCAGCAGGAGAAAACTGAGCCTCCTTAGAGTCCCTACAACTTCTGTGTTCCCTGTCCCACCTGTTCCCTTTGGCCAGCTGCTGATTATGGGGTTCCCAAAGAAAGCAGATGGGCAGGTTTCATATTCAACCAATCAGAACAGCAGGTTCCCCTACAGTTCCCTACTGAAGGGTCCTCACAGCCCAGGAAATGAAGAAATAATGTCCACACATGCTTTGCCACTGGAAAATGAAATAAAATATGGGAAAACTGTGGTCCCAATTATCCATCAATTGATGCAATTCTACAACAGACTCAATCCCCTGAGGGTTAACTCCCTATGTTTGGGACCTTTCTAGCCACCTTTAAATCCTTAATCCTAGGTTGAATTAGCCAAGGTACTAGGAATTATCAGAGCTTCTAGGTCAATGGTTCTCAATCAAGGGCAAATCTGTGCCCCAAGGGATATTTGACAATGTCTGGAGACAGTTTTGATTGTCATGCCTAGGGGAAAAGGGTTGTCACCATTATGTAACAAAGCCAAGGTTGCTGCTAAACACCCTGTAATGCACAGGAGAGTCCCCCACCACAAAGAGTTGTCTAGCTCAAAATGTCAGTAATGCTGAGGATGAGAAACCCTATTCTGAGTGAAGCATGTAAAGGGCTAAAAGGGTGCATGTATTTTTTACACACTGGAACTGGAGAAGGAAGACATTAGGTTGCCCCCCCACCACCAAAATCCATCAAACAATATTCCAGAGGAAAAGACATAAGATCATTTAACTCTTGAGTCCAACTAGCACAAAGGAGTTTCATCCTACCTCAGCCTTGGTTCCTCTGCCACCTGCTGTTGCCATTAAGGTGAACAGCAGGTGTGGTAGGGCCACATTCCCTTCTGCCCCATCCAAGGTCTACTTTGACCTAGTCCAATCTGGAGTTCTGTGACAATAAGAGAAATGCCATCCTCTTCAAGACAGATACAAAAGATCCTGCTCTTAAGCTTCAGGCACACTGCCCTCCATCCTGAACTCGGGACCTTGTTCTTTTAAGGCAGGCAAGGTACCTCTGAGCTTAATCCCCCAGCACTTGGTGCATTTTTTTTTTTTTTAGTTTTAAAAATAATTATTTTAAAGAGATTATTCTTTCTCCATAGTATGTTTATTTTTATGCCAGTATCATGCTGTTTTGTTACTGCTTTATGGCAGTTTTTTGTTTTTGTTTTTTGGTACCAGGGATCAAACTCCGGACTTGCGCCTACAAGCAGCAGAACCACTGAGCTAAATCCCCAGCCCTTTATGGTAGCCTTGGCACATTTTTAAAGTTCTGAAATTTACCAGAAGCAGACCCTTCCTCGTTAGGTCACTGATCAGACTTAGAGTACCTAGTCAATGAGGCAAAACAGCAGAAGATTCCCAAGGCCAAGTCCTTGGGAGAAATGTCGGGAGGCTGACACAGGATAATAGGCAGCTCTCTCGCTTAATTATCATCTAGGGTTATGAGTTAACTCACTCAGCAACTAAGATGGGAGTTCTGGAAATCTATCTTCAGGATTAAAACAACATGACCAAACTCCTCATACACCAAATACACTCAGCTTTCTGTGGCAGTGAAGCAAAGGAGCTCAGTCTAAAATACAGGTATTCTAGTTGAGAGGTATCAGAATGTTCTCTAAAATAAGGATTAAAAGAACTCCGATCTGGGCATCTGAACACCACTACAGACTAAGAGACAAACACTCCAGTAAACAATATCTTACTACTTACTGGCTTGTTAGGCTCTATATGAGATACTAACATGAGGCCTCCGCTGGAGTGTCCCAGGAATAATTTTTTTTTAATTGAGTATTTATTGACTAGATAATGCATACACATTTACTGAGGAGTTTTAGGTAACTATGTTGATTTGGCCAATATGGACACAACTTCTAATAGATGGGAAAACAAAGTAATAACAGGATTTGAATGTGTATTTTGTTTTCTATTTATTTTATTATCCTGTCCCCTCCCCTCAAGACCTCTCCCCTCCAAGAATAATTTTTAATTATGTGAACTGCTGTATTTCTGAAGTTCTAGGTTTGGTGGTAGTGTTTTTGAGACACTGTCTCACTAAGTAGTCCAAGATGGCCTTGACTTCAGTATGTAACCCAGACTACCCTGGAACTTGGAATCCTCTTGCCTCAGCTTTCTAAGTGCTGAGAGTACAGGCGTGTGCCACCACGCCTATTTGTTTTTCTTTTGGAAGGTCTAAGTAAACCCAGGGACACTGACAGTCTACATGTATAAACAGGATTTCTTCCTACTGGGTCATTTTCTGTTGAGTTTCCCATGGTCAAGCAGTCTATTGTCATCCTATCCGGAGATGATACCTGCACTTTTTGGAGTACTCTGACTTTCTCAGAGGCCCTGAAGATGTGGAAGAAATAAAAAAGAGTAATGCTTTGAAATGAAAATGGCCACCTAGTTTCTTCCCCAAAGAGATGATATCTGTAGGTTCACAGAACTACAGATACCTGACTCGCAGAAGTTCTTAGAAGAAAATCATATGGAAGTTAAAAAAGAGGGATCTCTTGAAATGCCAAGTGAAAACAACATAGGAAAAAAGAATAAGAGAAACGTCATCCATGTTTAGAGGACATATAAAGTGCCCTTGCTGATGGGACTAAGAAAATATAACCAAGTATCTGGAAGTCAGGGTTTACAAAGTATGTTTTCAAAAGAAGATTCCAGGAACTCTGAAGAGCTGGGAGAGAAAGAAAGCTAAAGGAAAGCCTTCCCATGCACTGAAAGTGCTTCAGCAACCCTCTAAGGACAAGATTTAGTAGACAGTGCAGTAATACAGCTTCCCATATGTTAAAGTGTTTCTCTTAGTGCAGACCAAAAAGACAAGAACCAAAGCTGGCTGTTTGTCCCAAGCCATCTAACTTCCACTCTCTTTTCCCTCCTATCTCCAGGTACTTGAAGAGACAGTGAATGCAAAAGATCTTAAGGCACTCAGGTAGATGAAAACTCATTTTCCATGGCATCTACCCAATACATAGCTCATGCCATTTTCATTGTCCCATTGTCTGAAAAACAACAAAAAGTTCCAGACTTACCTCTGGAAGAAACTTAATTTCCCAGGTCTTTCTAGCACAAGTTTCAAAGCCAGCAGAAAAACAAAAACAAAACAAATGGGGTGGGGAGTCAAACTTGGAGCTTTATTTTGACAGTGCTAGTCAATTTTAGTCGCAAAAATTCAAAGAAGCCTAAAGCTATTTCAATCAAATTGATCCACTCCAAGATAAAGAACTGACTCACAAAACAAAACCTTTAAGCTCCCCTAACTCCCGGTTAGTCAATTCACAAAATAATATCAGCTCTAAGAACTTCCAGTCCCAGTGTCTCATGGCAAAAAGGTCTCAAATTGGACAGCTTCCAGGAAAGCCCATTACCCTCTGGTAACTTTCTCACCGTCCTTCTCAACTCTTTATTCCATTTATTTTGTTACAGTATTATTGTTGACTTTCATCTTTAGAGAGGAAAGTGGTTACAGTCAAAGAAAGCACTTTCTTCCCATCACTTATCAAACTAGAACTATCCTTCAAATTCAGTCTTTGCCCTTTCCTCTAACTAGCACACAATGAGAACGAAATACCCACTGGGGCAGCATCCACTCACACATCTACATGTCAGCAGGGAACGTTTTTCTATATATGCTATTAACCCCCCTCTCTCCTAGCACTTAAACAGCAAAAGAAGAGTCGGAGAACTAAAGGACTCTTTGAATTAGCCTTCCAGATGCCAGTCTTTTCTGTTTTCTCCTCAGACTTCTCAGAATACAGGGCTCCGATACAGCCGCGTCTGTTTCCCCAGTCTTGTAATACTAATTACTAAAAACTAGAAAAGTCCTTTACTCCACACTCCACACCAGCTTCCCTATTTCCCCTTCCTTCTGTAACCAGGAAAAACAAGAGAGCAGTAAGCTAGAGAGCCTTTTGGAAAGCAAATCCAGTTGAACCCTCATTCAACCCCAATTCTCCAAACCCACATGACCATTCCCTTCTGCCCTTCCCACCCTATTAAAAGCTAAGGGCCTGGCAATTAGAATTGGCTGCAAGTGATGCTGCTTAACTCGGCTCTCTTCCTCGCCACAGGGGGAAGGGAAACCCCCGAATCTCTATCACCCGTGCAGCTCCACTGCCCCATCTCCCATCCCATTCCCCTTTCTCCCAAACTTTCCTCCCCGTCTCTCACTTTCTCCATTGCCTTGTCACACCGACACTCTCCCCAGTCCCCAAACCTTCGTTCTCTCCTTTTCCACCCAAATTCTCGCCTAGGCCCTTCCCCCTCACACTTAGAATTTAACACTTTCAAAACCTCCCTCCACGAAACGTCTCAAGTCCAATTCTCACCTCCTACCTCCTCACAACAGCTCTGAGTCCAGCCCTCCCTCCAACCACATGCCACAAGCCCC